GTCTCACCTGCCCAGGTGTGTCTCACCTGGAAGGGGTGCGGCTCCAGCGCCCGCAGCACCAGCGCGGGGGCGCCCAGGCTGAGGCCAGGTGTGACGAGCGGCGAGGTGACGGGGCGGGGCTCGAACAGGTCGGGGTGGTTGCACACCTTGCGCAGCTGCATCAGCACGTTGATGACGCTCATGAAGTGCCCGCTGGCCAGCGTGGCCTTGGTGCTGCGGGGGGAACCGGGGTCACCTGGGCGCACCTGGGCGCACCTGGGGGTCACCTGGGCGCACCTGGGGGTCACCTGAGCTCACCTGGGCTCACCTGGGGACTTTGGGAGGGGTTTGAAAGGGAAATTTGGGGGTCCAGGGGGGCCTTGGTGCTGCGGGGGCGGAATTCAGGGTCACCTGGGCACACCTGAGATCACCTGAGATCACCTGAACCCACCTGAGCTCACCTGAACTCACCTGAGATCACCTGAACTCACCTGAGCTCACCTGGGCTCACCTGGGGAATTTGGGAGGGGTTTGAAAGGGAAATTTGGGGATTTAAGGGGAAATTTGGGGGTCCAGGGGGGACTTGGTGCTGTGGGGGATGGAATTCGGGATCACCTGGGCGCACCTGAGCTCACCTGGGGAATTTGGGAGGGGTTTGAAGGGGAATTTTGGGGGTCCAGGGGGGACTTGGTGGTAAAAAAGGGAGACAAAAATCACCTGGAGATCACCTGAACACACCTGAACACACCTGAGATCACCTGAGCTCACCTGGGGAATTTGGGAGGGGTTTGAAAGGGAAATTTGGGGGTTTAAGGGGAAATTTGGGGGTCCAGGAGGGCCTTGGTGGTAAAAAATGGACACAAAAATCACCTGGAGATCACCTGAACCCACCTGAGCTCACCTGAGCTCACCTGAGCTCACCTGGGGAATTTGGGAGGGGATTTAAGGGGAAATTTGGGGATTTAAGGAGGAATTTGGGGATCCAGGGTGGTCCTGATGGTCAAAAACAAATGGAGAAGTTACCTGGGGGCACCTGAGCTCACCTGAGCTCACCTGGGGGTCACCTGAGCTCACCTGGGGGCACCTGAGCTCACCTGAACTCACCTGAACACACCTGAGCTCACCTGGGGAATTTGGGAGGGGTTTGAAGGGGAAATTTGGGGATTTAATGGAGAATTTGGGGGTCCAGGGTGGTCTTGATGGTCAGAAACAGATGGAGAAGTTACCTGGGGGTTACCTGGGGGCACCTGAGATCACCTGAGATCACCTGAACTCACCTGAGCTCACCTGGGGAATTTGGGAGGGGTTTGAAAGGGAATTTTGGGGGTTTAAGGGGAAATTTGGGGATCCAGGGGGGCCTTGGTGGTCAGAAACAGATGGAGAAGTTACCTGGGGGCACCTGAGCTCACCTGAGCGCACCTGAGCTCACCTGAACACACCTGAGCTCACCTGAGCTCACCTGGGGAATTTGGGAGGGGCTTGAAGGGGAAATTTGGGGGTCCAGGGGGGCCTTGGTGGCAAAAAAGGGAGACAAAAATCACCTGAGCTCACCTGAACACACCTGAACTCACCTGAGCTCACCTGAGCTCACCTGGGGAATTTGGGAGGGGATTTAAGGGGAAATTTGGGGGTCCAGGGTGGTCCTGATGGTCAAAAACAGATGGAGAAGTTACCTGGGGGTTACCTGGGGGCACCTGAACCCACCTGAGATCACCTGGGGGTCACCTGAGCTCACCTGGGGAATTTGGGAGGGGTTTGAAGGGGAAATTTGGGGATTTAAGGGGAAATTTGGGGGTCCAGGGTGGTCTTGATGGTCAAAAACAGATGGAGAAGTTACCTGGGGGTTACCTGGGGGCACCTGAACCCACCTGAGGTCACCTGAACCCACCTGAGCTCACCTGGGGAATTTGGGAGGGGTTTAAGGGGAATTTTGGGGATCCAGGGTGGAATTGGTGGTCAAAAATGGACACAAAAATCACCTGGAGATCATCTGAACCCACCTGAGCTCACCTGAGCTCACCTGGGCTCACCTGGGGAATTTGGGAGGGGTTTGAAAGGGAAATTTGGGGGTTTAAGGGGAAATTTGGGGATCCAGGGGGGCCTTGGTGGCAAAAAAGGGAGACAAAAATCACCTGAGCTCACCTGAACACACCTGAGCTCACCTGAACTCACCTGAGCTCACCTGGGGAATTTGGGAGGGGTTTGAAAGGGAATTTTGGGGGTCCAGAGGGGCCTTGGTGCTGCGGGGGGGATTCGGGGTCACCTGGGCGCACCTGAGCTCACCTGGGGGTCACCTGGGCTCACCTGGGGAATTTGGGAGGGGTTTGAAGGGGAATTTGGGGGTCCAGGGGGGCCTTGATGGTCAAAAACAGATGGAGAAGTTACCTGGGGGATACCTGGGGGCACCTGAACCCACCTGAGATCACCTGAACCCACCTGAGCTCACCTGGGGAATTTGGGAGGGGTTTGAAAGGGAATTTTGGGGGTCCAGGGGGGCCTTGGTGCTGCGGGGGGGATTCGGGGTCACCTGGGCGCACCTGAGCTCACCTGAGATCACCTGGGCGCACCTGAGCTCACCTGAGATCACCTGGGCGCACCTGAGCTCACCTGAACTCACCTGAGCTCACCTGAGCTCACCTGGAGAATTTGGGAGGGGTTTGAAAGGGAAATTTGGGGGTTTAAGGGGAAATTTGGGGGTCCAGGGTGGAATTTGTGGTAAAAAATGGACACAAAAATCACCTGAGCCCACCTGAACTCACCTGAGCTCACCTGAACCCACCTGAGCTCACCTGAGCTCACCTGAACCCACCTGAGCTCACCTGAGCTCACCTGGGGAATTTGGGAGGGGTTTGAAAGGGAATTTTGGGGGTTTAAGGGGAAATTTGGGGTCCACGGTGGTCTTGATGGTCAAAAACAGATGGAGAAGTTACCTGGGGGCACCTGAGCTCACCTGAACACACCTGAGCTCACCTGAACCCACCTGGAGATCACCTGAGATCACCTGGGAGTCACCTGGGGAATTTGGGAGGGGTTTGAAGGGGAATTTGGGGGTCCAGGGTGGTCCTGATGGTCAGAAACAGATGGAGAAGTTACCTGGGGGTTACCTGGGGGCACCTGAGATCACCTGAACCCACCTGAGCTCACCTGGGGAATTTGGGAGGGGATTTAAGGGGAAATTTGGGGATTTAAGGAGGAATTTTGGGGGTCCAGGGTGGTCTTGATGGTCAAAACCAGATGGAGAAGTTACCTGGGGGCACCTGAGATCACCTGAGCTCACCTGAGCTCACCTGGGGAATTTGGGAGGGGTTCAAAGGGGAAATTTGGGGGTCCAGGGTGGAATTGGTGGTAAAAAATGGACACAAAAATCACCTGGAGATCACCTGAACACACCTGAGCTCACCTGGGGGTCACCTGAGCTCACCTGGGGGTCACCTGAGCTCACCTGGGGGTCACCTGAGCTCACCTGGGGGTCACCTGAGCTCACCTGGGGAATTTGGGAGGGGTTTGAAAGGGAAATTTGGGGGTCCAGGGGGGCCTTGGTGCTGCGGGGACGGAATTCAGGGTCACCTGAACCCACCTGAGCTCACCTGGGGGTCAACTGAGCTCACCTGGGCTCACCTGGGGAATTTGGGAGAGGTTGGAAGGGGAAATTTGGGGGTTTAAGGGGAAATTTGGGGGTCCAGGGTGGAATTGGTGGTAAAAAATGGACACAAAAATCACCTGGACATCACCTGAACACACCTGAGCTCACCTGAGCTCACCTGGGGAATTTGGGAGGGGATTTAAGGAGGAATTTTTGGGGTCCAGGGTGGTCCTCATGGTCAGAAACAGATGGAGAAGTTACCTGGGGGTTACCTGGGGGCACCTGAACCCACCTGAGATCACCTGAGATCACCTGAACTCACCTGAGCTCACCTGGGGAATTTGGGAGGGGTTTGAAAGGGAAATTTGGGGGTTTAAGGGGAAATTTGGGGGTCCAGGGGGGCCTTGGTGGCAAAAAATGGACACAAAAATCACCTGGAGATCACCTGAACACACCTGAGCTCACCTGAGCTCACCTGAGCTCACCTGGGGAATTTGGGAGGGCTTTGAAAGGGAAATTTGGGGGTTTAAGGGGAAATTTGGGGGTCCAGGGTGGGGCCAGGTGTTCTGGGGAAGGAAATTCGGGGTCACCTGGGCACACCTGGGCACACCTGGGCGCACCTGGGCACACCTGGGCACACCTGGGCACACCTGGGGTCAAAGACGGAAAACCCGCAGGAATTCTGGAGGAAATTTGGGGATTTAAAGGGGTTTAAGAGAGAATTCGGGGGGTTTTTGGGGTCCCAGGTGAGTTTGGGGCTCTCAGGTGTGCCCAGGTGTGCCCAGGTGAGTGCCCAGGTGTGCCCAGGTGTGCCCTCACCTGCCCTGACCCCTGGCACCATCAGAGACTTTGAACAGGTGAATTTGGGTGAATTTTGGGTGGAATTTCATGCAATTTGTGTAGATTTTTACAGGAAATTCGGGATTTTTGGCCCCCAGGTGTGCCCAGGTGTGCCCAGGTGTGCCCAGGTGTGCCCCTCACCTGGCCTGACCCATGACACCATCAGAGACTTTGAACAGGTGAATTTTGGGTGAATTTCGGTGGATTTTGATGAAATTTGAGTAGATTTTCACAGGAAATTCGGGATTTTTGGCCCCCAGGTGTGCCCAGGTGAGTGCCCAGGTGAGTGCCCAGGTGTGCCCAGGTGTGCCCTCACCTGGCCTGACCCCTGGCACCATCAGAGACTTTGAACAGGTGAATTTGGGTGAATTTTGGGTGGATTTGGATGGATTTTGATGAAATTTGAGTAGATTTTCACAGGAAATTCGGCATTTTTGGCTCCCAGGTGTGCCCAGGTGAGTGCCCAGGTGAGTGCCCAGGTGAGTGCCCAGGTGAGTGCCCAGGTGTGTCCAGGTGTGCCCTCACCTGGCCTGGCCCATGACATCATCAGAGACTTTGAACAGGTGAATTTTGGGTGAATTTTGGGAGGATTTTGAGTGATTTTGATGAAATTTGTGTAGATTTTCCCAGGAAATTTGGGATTTTTGGCTCCCAGGTGTGCCCAGGTGAGTGCCCAGGTGTGCCCAGGTGAGTGCCCAGGTGTGCCCAGGTGTGCCCCTCACCTGCCCTGACCCCCGGCACCATCAGAGACTTTGAACAGGTGAATTTTGGGTGGATTTCGGTGGATTTTGATTAAATTTGTGCAGATTTTCCCAGGAAATTCGGGATTTTTGGCCCCCAGGTGTGCCCAGGTGAGTGCCCAGGTGTGCCCAGGTGTGCCCTCACCTGCCCTGACCCCTGGCACCATCAGAGACTTTTAACAGGTGAATTTGGGTGAATTTTGGGTGGAATTTTCTGGAATTTGGGCATTTTCTCACAGGAAATTCGGGATTTTTGGCCCCCAGGTGTGCCCAGGTGAGTGCCCAGGTGTGCCCAGGTGTGCCCCTCACCTGGCCTGGCCCATGACATTGCCAGAATCCTCAAAAAGGTGAATTTTGGGTGAATTTTGATGGAATTTTGTGCATTTTGTGCAGATTTTCCCAGGAAATTCGTGATTTTTGGCCCCCAGGTGTGCCCAGGTGTGTGCCCAGGTGTGCCCAGGTGTGCCCAGGTGTGCCCCTCACCTGCCCTGGCCCCCGGCACCATCAGAGACTTTGAACAGGTGAATTTTGGGTGGATTTGGATGGAATTTTGACAGAATTTCGTGCAATTTGTGCAGATTTTCCCAGGAAATTCGGGATTTTTGGCCCCCAGGTGTGCCCAGGTGAGTGCCCAGGTGTGCCCAGGTGTGCCCCTCACCTGGCCTGGCCCATGACATCATCAGAGACCTCGAACAGGTGAATTTTGGGTGGAATTTTCTGGATTTTGGGCAGATTTTCACAGGAAATTCGGGATTTTTGGCCCCCAGGTGAGTGCCCAGGTGTGCCCAGGTGTGCCCAGGTGTGCCCTCACCTGGCCTGGCCCATGAAGTCGTCGTAGAGGAAGCGCTGGCGCTTGGACAGGCGGCACCGCAGCACGTGCTCGTACTTCTTGGGCATCTGCTTCTCCACGTCCACCTTGAGGCGGCGCAGCAGGAACGGCCGCAGCACCTGCGGGGGCACCTGCTCAGGTGTGCCCGGGCGTGCCCAGGTGGGACCCGACACGCCCCGGGGCTGGCCCAGTGTGGCCCAGGTGTGACCCAGTGTGGCCCAGGTGTGCCCAGGTGTGTCCCAGGTGTGCCCAGGTGTGATCCAGTGTGCCCGGGCGTGCCCAGGTGGGACCCGACACGCCCCGGGGGTGGCCCAGGTGTGCCCAGGTGTGCCCTGACACACCCCAGGTGTGCCCCAGGTGTGCCCAGGTGTGGCCCAGTGTGGCCCAGGTGTGCCCAGGTGTGTCCCAGTGTGGCCCAGTGTGCCCCAGGTGTGCCCAGGTGTGATCCAGTGTGGTCCAGGTGTGCCCAGGTGTGCCCCGACACGCCCCGGGGGTGGCCCAGTGTGGCCCAGGTGTGATCCAGTGTGCCCCAGGTGTGCCCAGGTGTGACCCAGTGTGCCCCAGGTGTGCCCAGGTGGGACCCGACACGCCCCGGGGGTGGCCCAGTGTGGCCCAGGTGTGCCAAGGTGTGATCCAGTGTGCCCCAGGTGTGCCCAGGTGTGTCCCAGGTGTGCCCAGGTGTGATCCAGTGTGCCCCAGTGTGCCCAGGTGTGCCCCAACACACACCAGGTGTGCCCCAGGTGTGCCCAGGTGTGATCCAGTGTGCCCCAGGTGTGCCCCGACACGCCCCGGGGGTGGCCCAGTGTGGCCCAGGTGTGACCTGACACACCCCAGGTGTGCCCCAGGTGTGCCCCAGGTGTGATCCAGTGTGCCCCAGGTGTCCCAGGTGTGCCCTGGCATGTCCCACATATGCCCCAGGTGTGACCCAGTGTGCCCCAGGCGTGCCCAGGTGGGACCCGACACGCCCCGGGGGTGGCCCAGTGTGCCCAGGTGTGCCCAGGTGTGCCAAGGTGTGATCCAGTGTGCCCCAGGTGTGCCCAGGTGTGATCCAGTGTGCCCCAGGTGTGCCCAGGTGTGCCCCAGGTGTGCCCAGGTGTGATCCAGTGTGCCCCAGGTGTGCCCAGGTGTGCCCTGACACACCCCAGGTGTGCCCCAGGTGTGCCCAGGTGTGATCCAGTGTGTCCCAGGTGTGCCCAGGTGTGCCCCANGCAGGAACGGCCGCAGCACCTGCGGGGGCACCTGCTCAGGTGTGCCCGGGCGTGCCCAGGTGGGACCCGACACGCCCCGGGGCTGGCCCAGTGTGGCCCAGGTGTGACCCAGTGTGGCCCAGGTGTGCCCAGGTGTGTCCCAGGTGTGCCCAGGTGTGATCCAGTGTGCCCGGGCGTGCCCAGGTGGGACCCGACACGCCCCGGGGGTGGCCCAGGTGTGCCCAGGTGTGCCCTGACACACCCCAGGTGTGCCCCAGGTGTGCCCAGGTGTGGCCCAGTGTGGCCCAGGTGTGCCCAGGTGTGTCCCAGTGTGGCCCAGTGTGCCCCAGGTGTGCCCAGGTGTGATCCAGTGTGGTCCAGGTGTGCCCAGGTGTGCCCCGACACGCCCCGGGGGTGGCCCAGTGTGGCCCAGGTGTGATCCAGTGTGCCCCAGGTGTGCCCAGGTGTGACCCAGTGTGCCCCAGGTGTGCCCAGGTGGGACCCGACACGCCCCGGGGGTGGCCCAGTGTGGCCCAGGTGTGCCAAGGTGTGATCCAGTGTGCCCCAGGTGTGCCCAGGTGTGTCCCAGGTGTGCCCAGGTGTGATCCAGTGTGCCCCAGTGTGCCCAGGTGTGCCCCAACACACACCAGGTGTGCCCCAGGTGTGCCCAGGTGTGATCCAGTGTGCCCCAGGTGTGCCCCGACACGCCCCGGGGGTGGCCCAGTGTGGCCCAGGTGTGACCTGACACACCCCAGGTGTGCCCCAGGTGTGCCCCAGGTGTGATCCAGTGTGCCCCAGGTGTCCCAGGTGTGCCCTGGCATGTCCCACATATGCCCCAGGTGTGACCCAGTGTGCCCCAGGCGTGCCCAGGTGGGACCCGACACGCCCCGGGGGTGGCCCAGTGTGCCCAGGTGTGCCCAGGTGTGCCAAGGTGTGATCCAGTGTGCCCCAGACACACCAGGTGTGCCCCAGGTGTGCCCAGGGGTGATCCAGTGTGGCCCAGGTGGGCCCCGACACGCCCCGGGGGTGGCCCAGGTGTGCCCAGGTGTGCCCTGACACACCCCAGGTGTGCCCCAGGTGTGCCCAGGTGTGACCCAGTGTGCCCCAGGTGTGCCCAGGTGTGTCCCAGTGTGGCCCAGGTGTGCCCAGGTGTGTCCCAGTGTGCCCCAGGTGTGCCCAGGTGTGATCCAGTCTGTCCCAGGTGTGCCCCAGGTGTGCCCAGTTGTGCCCTGACACACCCCAGGTGTGCCCCAGGTGTGCCCAGGTGTGATCCAGTGTGTCCCAGGTGTGCCCAGGTGTGCCCCAAAACACACCAGGTGTGCCCCAGGTGTGCCCAGGTGTGATCCAGTGTGACCCAGGTGTGCCCAGGTGTGCCCCAACACACACCAGGTGTGCCCCAGGTGTGCCCAGGTGTGACCCAATGTGCCCCAGCATGTCCCAGGTGTGCCCAGGTGTGCCAAGGTGTGCCCAGGTGTGCCAAGGTGTGATCCAGTGTGACCCAGGTGTGTCCCAAGTGTGCCCAGGTGTGTCCTGGAATGTCATGGGTGTGCCCAGGTGTGCCCCAGGAGTGACCTGGCATACCCCAGGTGCGATCCAGTCTGTCCCAGGTGTGCCCACAGTGCCCCAGGTGTGACCCAGTGTGGCCCAGGTGTGCCCCAACACACCCCAGGTGTGCCCAGGTGTCCCAGGTGTGCCCTGGCATGTCCCACATGTGCCCCAGGTGTGCCCAGGTGTGTCCTGGAATGTCACAGGTGTGTCCCAGTGCATCCCAGGTGTGCCCAGGTGTGCCCCAATGTAACCCAGGTGTATCCCGGGTGTGTGTACCCATACCCAGGTGTAACTCAGGTGTATCCCAGGTATGTGTACCCATTCCCAGGTGTGCCCAGGTGTGCCCAGGTGCGCCCAGGTGCGTTACCTTGTGCAGCCGTTTCACCAGGCTCTCGTTGTACTCCTGGCTACCCTCGATCCTGGCGCTCAGGTGTGCCCAGGTGTGCCCAGGTGTAACCCAGGTGTGTGTACCCATTCCCAGGTGTGCCCAGGTGTGCCCAGGTGTGCCCAGGTGTGCCCAGGTACCTTGTGCAGCCGTTTCACCAGGCTCTCGTTGTACTCCTGGCTACCCTCGATCATGCCCGTCAGGGGGTTGTGGAACCACTCGCGGAACTCCCGGTGCGACTGGAAGACGCTCGGCATCAGGAAATGCATCAGCGACCACAGCTCCATCAGCGAGTTCTGCAGCGGCGTGCCCGTCAGCAGCAGCCGCCGCTGGCTGCAGGTGGGACAGGTGAGGCACAGGTGAGGCAGGTGAGGCAGGTGAGGCAAAAATCCCCATCGAAAACGGGCCAAAAATCCCCAAAAAATCCAAAATAAAACGGCCTAAAAACCCCAAAAATCAAAACTAAAACAGCCCAGGTGTGCCCAGGTGTGCCCAGCCTGTAGGAGGTGATGCACACCTGGGCTTTGTCCAGCCCTGACAGGTGAGACACAGGTGAGGCAGGTGAGACAGGTGAGGCAAAAATCCCCATCGAAAACGGGCCAAAAAACCCAAAAAATCCAAAATAAAACGGCCCAAAAACCCAAAAAATCAGAACTAAAACAGCCCAGGTGTGCCCAGGTGGTGAACACCTGGAACACGTTGGGCTTGGTCCAGCCCTGACAGGTGAGACAGGTGGGACAGGTGAGGCAGGTGAGGCAAAAATCCCCATCGAAAACGGCCCAAAAATCCCCAAAAAATCAAAATTAAAACAGCCCAGGTGTGCCCAGGTGTGCCCAGGTGGTGATGCACACCTGGAAGACATTGGACTTGGTCCAGCCCTGACAGGTGAGATACAGGTGACACACAGGTGAGATACAGGTGAGAGACAGGTGAGACACAGGTGAGATACAGGTGAGAGACAGGTGAGGCAGGTGAGATACAGGTGACACACAGGTGAGACACAGGTGAGATACAGGTGAGGCAGGTGAGGCAAAAATCCCCATCGAAAATGGCCCAAAAATCCCCAAAAAAAGCCCAAAAAATCCAAAATAATACAGCCCAGGTGTGCCCAGGTGTGCCCAGATGATGAACACCTGGAACACGTTGGGCTTGGTCCAGCCCTGACAGGTGAGACAGGTGAGGCAGGTGACACAGGTGAGGCAAAAATCCCCATCGAAAACGGCCCAAAAATCCCCAAAAAATCCAAAATAAAACGGCCCAAAAACCCAAAAAATCAAAACTAAAACAGCCCAGGTGTGCCCAGGTGTGCCCAGGTGTGCCCAGGTGTATCCCAGGTGTGCCCAGGTGTACCCCAGGTGTGCCCAGGTGTACCCCAGGTTATCCCGGTTAACCCAGGTGTACCCCAGGTGTGCCCAGGTGTACCCCAGCTAACTCAGGTGTCTCCCAGGTAACTCAGGTGTGCCCAGGTGCGCCCCAGGTGTATCCAGGCGCACCCCAGGTGTGCCCAGGTGTACCCCAGGTGTATCCAGGTGTGCCCAGGTGTATCCAGGTGCACCCCAGGTGTATCCAGGCGCACCCCAGGTGTATCCAGGTGCATCCCAGGTGTATCCAGGTGCGCCCAGGTGTGCCCAGGTGTACCCCAGGTGTATCCAGGTGCAGCCCAGGTGTGCCCAGGTGTATCCAGGCGCCCCAGGTGTATCCAGGTGTGCCCAGGCGCACCCCAGGTGTATCCAGGTGTACCCCAGGTGTATCCCAGGTGTACCCCAGGTGTATCCAGGCGCACCCCAGGTGTATCCAGGTGCGCCCAGGTGTGCCCAGGTGTATCCAGGTGTGCCCAGGTGTATCCAGGTATACCCCAGGTGTATCCAGGTGCGCCCAGGTGTATCCAGGTGTATCCAGGCGCGCCCCAGGTGTACCCCAGGTGTATCCAGGTGTACCCAGGTGTACCCCAGGTGTATCCAGGTGCACTCCAGGTGTGCCCAGGTGTATCCAGGTGTACCCAGGTGTACCCCAGGTGTGCCCAGGCGCACCCCAGGTGCACCCCAGGTGTATCCAGGTGTACCCCAGGTGTATCCAGGTGCGCCCAGGTGTATCCAGGTGTACCCCAGGTGTATCCAGGTGTACCC